GAGGCTCTCTTTACCACTTGTCCGGGATCTTGTACACAGGGAAGTCAATTTGATTAGTTCAATAACCTGGCCTACGAGTGGCGCAAGCTCAAAGATATCATGGCTTTTGGATTTTCGGATCCGAACTCAAATCCAAAAGCCGAACGAAAAGTTTGGAAGGGCTGCTTAACTGTTAAAAAAAGACACTACCGCCGTTCGACGATTCTAGAATGCCGAATTTTTTATGATACGAGTTTTCAGAACCTCGCCTTAATCCCCAAGTAACGCCAATTCGACTTTTCATATTAATCAAACGATTAAAATGTCAGCTAGGTAAAGTTAATATTAACAATATACAATACAGTTCTATAAAAGCAGCACTTGCTGCTTTAGCAACAGATATTTACATTCAGACCTGGACGGGAAGGTATTATAAGAGGTTATGCGCTATTTTTTGATACAAACTTCTAGTCATATTGCATATGTGAATTGGTGCTTATCCCTTTGTCGTTCTGCTGTATTTCAGCAAACGTCACTGGCCATATGCGCACTAATGCATCCCAGCTTCGCCTGTCATTTCCGTGGATCAGGAGGTGAGCAAAGATTGGTGCTCAGCATTCGTAGCTGGCGGCCTTTTTTTACCGGCCGCATTACCTTGCCGTCGGCCGCGTCACAAAACTGCAGTCTCTTCTGTATTGTGAGATGGGCGATCTTCTTAGTTTTGATTAGCAGGCTTCGTGTAAAGCCTAGTAACTTTAAGAAAACAGCCAGTCCCCATGTACCCTCCCCCTCTGCAAATGTTGAATGGAAACGATACGAGGATCCAAGCGCAGTCTGGACCGATAGGGTTCGGGGATTGGAATGGAAAACGTGTATAGGGAAAAGCCTTGTTTGCCCACTTGACGAATGCCTTCGATCAGTATTCGAGGCGGACGATGACGAACTTTCCAATTAATAGTAGGGAAATGGATAGTTATACTAGGATTAGATAATTTGTAAAACGCGATTAGACATGGCTTGAAAAACACGGATAGGGTGAATGTTGTTATATGCAGTAAAAAGCTGACTCAAGGCTTTCATGTCGTGTCCACGCCTCCGTTTAAACCCGGGATATTTTTCCCGCTTGCTATCAGCACCGACGGCGCTTCCGCCGAGCCAAGACGTCGCCGTGGTGCTCACGTTGTGAGTATAAACGTGTGAGTCGCTTCGACGCCTCAGCTATATCACCGATTTTTGATGATGTTCGTCTAACTGAAATTTCACTTCCAGCTTTTGTCTCTCGTCACATAGACCTTTCACCACGAGCATTAGCGGGGTTCTTCGATGTACACGCATCCTTCGCACAGAACTTCAGTGTGACTACGTCAAGACGAAGAAAAACCCTGAGTAAGCCAGTGACGTCACCATCGATGTTGGGGCTCTCGATTTCTGACGTCACAAAGGTCACGCCCAGCAGATCCATTCAATGGTTTACCCTGAGGTTAGATTGTAGAATATCTGGTCTGTGGTCCGGTAGCGCGGGGAAACTTAACGGCACAGGCAATGGTACGAATCGAATGGGAATGGGGTAGTGGAGCTTTCGCGTATGAAACCATTAGGTGATGAAGGTGGAACTGCTGGTCAGCTATTGATTCATGAAGACCAATTAAGCCGTGTGTTTTTCTTATGACGGGATTGAAAACCTGCTCCGAAAAGGGGGAAAATTAGGAAGTAAGACTACAACAGAAGACACATTTTTAGAAAACAATCTTTCTTAATATGGCGACTAGCTGAAATCATGAATTAAGTAGCTTTGTCGATTTTCCCTGAAAACTGATACCCTCCGGATTGTTGCAAGGTAAAAATCAATACATATTTGTATTTTCCATGAGAACAGGTGAAGAAAACTAGAAATTGTTCCTACGCATACGATGGAAACGACTGCTCATATTCGCCGTGGAATCTCGTCACCATAGCATGATTGATCCAACTATCGGTAATGATGTATAATAAATGGAAGTTTACGCTTTTGTCGCAGTAGCAAACCTGCTCAGAGACTCAGTGTCTGTTCGTCGTTAGATAAGCCGATCATTAGGATACCAAGATGAGTGTAGTGATTTAACGTATCAGAGAAAGACATGGTTTGTACCTAGAGCTGCCACAGGCTGCGAGGCTGTTGACTAACTCACGAGGCTGGCCTAGGTAGGGACCCCATTTAAGGGTGATCCCTGTTCCCAGTTAATATGAATGGACTGGCGGTGGTCCACCAGACCAATAGATGTTGTGTACCGCCACCCACATATGGCATCCGTACGTAAATAACAGAGAGTACATATGCAGTAAGGGAATAACAAATGAGATAGCTTACCAGGAAACTGAAACGCAGTGCTAAAGTGCACAGGTGCTTGTCTAAATTTTCGTTTACGAATCACGTTATTGTAACGCAATAGGACATGCTCAGAAATAGGAGCAAATGAATCGTATGGGTTCTATGGAAGAATTTTCTGCCGTTTGCTCGCCTCTACAAAACTACGGAAGCATAAAAGTACGTAACATGAATTTCAGACGAAGAAAGGTTGAAAGAAATCTAATTTGCAAATTTCTTTAACCGTAGGTTTGACATGCTAGACATTAAACTAAACAAACGGATACTCCATTCAGAAAAAGAACTCTTCGACATTTCTAAAGAAAATTAATTAGTACAAAAAAAATGTAAGTATGTGTCCGTTTTCGCCAGGTGTAATACAGTTTTAACATGCAATTTTCAAGACGTTCGGTGTCACCCTGGAAAAACTTATACAAATCAATGTGACCTAGAAATAGTGTAAAATTTATAATAAAAATTGCTATTATTATGTAACTAGTTGAATTAAAGTTCGAAAATTAACAAAAGATCTTTTTCGCCAGAGTCGTTCAGCACGGTACCCTGTCCACGAAAAAAAAAAAATAGTGATATGCTCGCTCGAAGTTTTTGCCCCTGTAAGGACCGAGAGATTTCAGAAACCTGGCCTGTTGTTACAGCGTAAATTTATAGGAGCAACACAGGGAACATATAGGGTTTGAATGAAAAAGATGAGGAGACCTGAGACTTCCCAATAACCGCACGCAGCTACTTGACAGTTAGTTACCCGGTGCAGAAGTCTGTTTTTTGTTAGATCTGGCCATTGTTGAACAAACGCTGCTGTTGTAGAAACTATATTAACCGACTATAAAACGATTGTCAGCTTAACAAATTTTCTGTGTCGCAAAGAATAAAGGGCATTGATGAGAACCGCAATCAATCAGGTTCAGTATGTGCAGTCTCCTATTTGACAAACCTAAAAGCATGCTGCAGAAATTCAATGGAAGACTATATTTATCTTACGAATGAAATTTCGTTATAGCGAATCAGACCAACTACACGACAATGGACACACGTTATTTTTGCCTCGAAATTGAATGAAAAAACAGGTCACACACAATATTTGCAGCGTCCGTAATTTAAAAAGGTCTGCCTGCAAGTAAAATGCTTTTTTCAAGGACAAGTAAGTCAAAGGCACAAAGCAGATGAATAGGACAACGACACGTGATGGGGTGGTTTAGGTCGGAAATTGAACATGCACGCATTGTTCCGTGCGGGCAGCAGCCAATCGTCTGAAGCAGCAGTGCTTAGCTAAGGCAGTAGAACGAATGTAAAGTTCGAGATATCTCTTTTAGTGGGAGAATCACAGAAATGGCCGTAAACTAGTCAAGCATATAGTGCCATAAACCCATATATAGGCAACAACGAGCAGTACTTGCGTTTGGTGGAGAGATCAAACCCGCTTCTTGAAAGCGCTCTATTAGTCTACTCGCATTCGCTGGCCCTTAGCCAATTACAAACAAATCAGTAAAGTAAAATAGAACTTGCGACACCCAACCTGCAAAGTACGTGTTTGTTACCAGACAGAAAGCGTGGTACATTTTCGCAAGAGACGAAGTGGCCATGTCTAAATAATTTCAACCTTCTAGTGACGAGTATTCAGCAGCAGTATGACGTTTTTGGGGGCATTTATAAACATTTTAGTTCAGCATTTACCTCACTGAAAAACGAGTTGCTTCGGGCCTGTGTCATAACTGGCTAAGAACAAGCGAGTGCTAAGGGTTATCAGCGTTACAGCTTAACTTCCCGAAATGAAAATGCTGATAGGGAGACAGGCCGTCACGATGAAACAGAATGAGATCACACTTAATGGACTGCTATACATATATCTATATATATATATATGTTTAGAAAATGTGTTAATAACTACGATGACAGCGGTGTACTATCGCCCTTTGAAGAGGTATCTACTATTCAGTGAACTAGGAGTAGGATACCCACATTTGCTTCACCGGGTTGTTAGATCAGGACAGCACGTAGATACGCGATGGTCTATTGGCGCCGTCGGACACCGATCTAAATATCGGGCCTAATTTTTCCCGAGGTAGCCCGGTCCATATTGGCTAGTCCGAGCGAAATTGAAAAAAATCGATTCTGTTTTCAGGAAAAAAATACGATGTCCACGATAGGTTGAAGTTGACTGTGGAAAATTACCGTAATCCGGAAGTTCATTCTCGTGCTTAGACTAGATAGACCCACCTGTGACTAGTGGTCAATCGCGCAATCGCCAATAAGAATTGATAACACTGGGATTTAACGCATTGCTTATCTAACAAAATTCCGCCGTCGGTTTCTTTTTAGTTTATAGAAAAGCTTTGCTTGACCTTTCCCCTATCAGACTCATTTTACGCAATCCATTCATCTCAATATAAACAACTCACCTTCAACATCGAATCAGGTTCGATTTAATTAGAGTAAATGAAAAAATACTTCGTTGAACTTCATGCGTCATGATCAAACATGCAATTGTGATTATGTAGATGACGAAATCAGGGTTTGATCATGTGCACTTGAAGTTCTCGTTCGCTGTTTCCCTATAGACTCAAAAGGTTCCAGTCAGCTTAATGTCCTTCAGCAGTTCATCTTTACATCTAATCTAGCTTGTTATTATTCTATTTGCTGACTCCTGGCGCATTTTCAGGACCCGGGACACGACGATACCTGATGAACACGCCCATACAGGAATGGTCCAACCGACAAACTCTGATCCTCAGGTAAGTGAGACCAAATGTTTTGTCTTGTTATAGGTGTTCCCCATTAATCGGTGTTTTAAACCTAATCGTAAAGGCTAGCTTAAAAGGCATGAACGACGTGTAGCTGGAGACTTACATTTATCACAAGCCTTTCGATCGCAGTAAACGCTAATGGGAAAGACCGGAAGGGGACTACTTTCCAATTGGGACGGTCGCCAGAAGATTCCTGTGAGTGAGTTCATTATTGACATATGACTTAGAAAAACACAAGCGGATGGTCTTGAAACAAAAAGAAAATTATGTTAGATTTCACTCTCTCTGATTCATTAATGCGAGCTTTTGAAATGTCTTAAAATATTAGTTGATACATATATGCAAAAGGTGTGCCTTCGGTACTCATTAGCTACACATACATCATTTCATACCTCAAACACATCTTCGCTTTGCTGTGAAGTCAATTGTAAGCCATAATACCGTTTCACTAACTTTATAAGTTAATGCGATCAATATGAAGTTAGTCTTGTAAATGGTCTCTGTCGTTCAAGAACAATGGGGCTGCCTTCAGACAGCCACTTAGAAACTAGCTTGCTTTCAATAACAGTAACTCAATTGAGTATCTTTCACTCTAACTGGCTTAATTTTTATATGGCTGTATGCCAGGTTACTTGAGGCTTGCGTCGATCTTCCATTCGTGAATATTCATCTAGAAGACAGTACGACGTTTCTAGAGACTATGATAGCTAGATAGCTGGAAGTTATGCGCGCCTATAAGCAAGACACAACGAAAACGTTAGCCATGTTTTCTATCGGAGAAGAATTTCTTCACTGCTGCATAGTGACGCATTTAGGTGTGATTTTTCCAAACAGAACCAATTTTATGTAGTCTTAACGCCTGCTTGTGCCTGGAACGTTTTCGCTCATTGCCATAAGCAGACGCAACAGGTGCCTTCGAAGCCTTTTAGATACATTACTGTGTTTTCGATTGAGCTTCTTTCGCGCAACAGCAGCAGCAGCAGCAGCAGCAGCAGCAGCAGCAGCAGCAGCAGCAGCAGCAGCAGCAGCAGCAGCAGCAGCAGCAGCAGCAGCAGGCTTATCGTAATCGATTCTTACTCCGACATCCTCATCCTCCTTTGCGCGCATCTACTTGAGTGCGTTCTTATGGTCACCGTGAAAATGCGACGATTGCTAATTAAGGCTTCAGCGCTAACAATGGCGTTATCGTTCCACTTCACAGATCTGTTAGAAAAAATTCGGATAACATATCGAGCAGTAGCCGTCTATAATTTATTTTCCATCTAATTACTAATTTAAATTTGACAATGAATCGATTACCATTCTGTGCATGTCTTATTTAAGAATACACAATTTTGTTTTTTGGCCGTTTATTGTAACCGCCATCATTTTCATTTTATTTGTCGTTTTTTTGTTGCCTGCAATAATGATTCGCCCGTGACTTTTGGCGGTGCTATTTCAGGTTACCCCTCTGCATTCGACGATTTCGTCAAATAACCACAATGGTGGCCACCGGGCCGGTCACCACGAGCGACCGAAAACGTTCATAATTGCCGCGATCGACTTTGAACACGTGTCCGCCCCGTTCATCATTGTCGTATGGATAATCATCGCTGGATTGGCCAAAATCGGTTCGTTAAGACTGGCACACCATATTATCATTATTATTCTACTAATAACGTTCATTCGTGACGAACAAGATACCCTTGTTGTAAGTCAACTGCTAGCGTGTCCTTTGAATAGGACTTAGGCCAAGAGGTCGTACTCACGTTCCAGATAGCGAAGGAATTGTGGTCCGTAACCACGTGTCACGTTGAACAAGAGCCAATATCTTCATACTTGATTAGCGGCGCGTGACGGTGTTGATACTTGAGCGTTTCTCGTAAGCGATCCTTGATTTTGAAACGATTTTACGAATACGTGTTAATAAAGGCATCATTCCGATCCTTTATGATAAACGTTTCTACCAAATGAGTGTTTCACAAAAAAATTTTACCTTAAGGACATGAATACAGCAGAATTTGCTCAGATCGCGTCTTCTGGAGACATCAGAGGAATATAGTGTGCGGGAATGATAGAGGCATAGTATACTTCGAATTACTACAAAAAGCCTTTAATGCGTACAAGTAACTCTCTTGGGACAGACCAATAGACAACGCAATGACGGTCAACTCGGCATGAAACCTTCTTCGTGTCAAGGAAAACCATGAGCAAAATTATGACGAATAAACCTACGTATACCTAAAAGGAATCTTTTTGGGCATCTTAATGGGTTTTCAATGATAATGTAAATAACTGGCCGTTAATACGTTTCAGCTGTTTACCTACTTCGGTTTCGAATCCTAAGAAGCCGTTGATCGATGTAACTGAACTGCTAGCGGTGTGGTAAGCCGGCTGATTTCTTGAGTTGGTTGCAATATTGAAAGTCTTTTAACAACTTCAACTTAAGTTCACTAGGTCGGCCTGCTGGCGTTTAGCTGCAAAAGCATATTGATAGCTAGACAAATGCTAGGACGCGCGAGCAATTATAGGCAATATTTATGTGCTATGTTTTACCACGCAGATATCATGAGGGCTAGTAAGAATGCTCAATAGAACTCGGTGTCTAAGTTTTAATCGCTCATGGGATCTCTTTGGAAATAGATAACTTTTCGTTGAAAAAGCATCTATATTAATTTCAACTTAATTATTAAAGTAAATCAAGTAATATTATAATAAATTTAGTTACTCATACATGACGTGTATTGTATAACGTTTACTGGACTTCAAGCACCGACTTCTGGTACATTTCAAGCAAAAGCTTATTCCAACGGCCAAACCGCTGCGGCACGTAAATGTTGAAGAAGTATATCTTAAACGAAGAGGTTCCTATTTGGTTAGACACATGTATAGAATGTTAGAATCAATGGACTTTGTACGGTGTTATTCGAGAATATAAAAATTCAAAGCGTGTTCTTTATTTGAGCCATTTTATAAAAGAAATAAGTTACTTCGTTACTAAATCGCGTCTGCCTAAAATAAACAAATGTTTCAGTTTTTTATGTCATGTACTGGCTCAGCTAAGGATTGCTTCAAACGACTGGCTTCCTCCACCGCGGGCCGACTCCAGGTGGCCGTGTGTTCTTACAAATGGTCAAACCTGGCCGTGTGAAATTCCGCATCTCTGAGTTCAGTGTTCAAACACGATACCTGCGTACAAGCAATTGTTTACTCGTCTCTCTCTGATGAGCTTCATTTTTCCTTTTGTTTTACCTATTCAGCTTGTTTATTCAACCATTCTGTGAATCTGTCACGCTCTGTTGGCCAAACAAATATCTACAGTTGGCACCTTCAGGCTCCGTGAAGATACTACCACCGCCCCCGCCAAATTTTCAATCCCGATGAAAACACATCCAAATTGACCAGACACGTCTCTTACTACAACATGAACCGGACCACATCGGCCATCAGTTCGCCTACCCAAGACAATTAGTAAGGGTGATAAGATATGACGTAGAAATCGATTCTTGCCGTAAAAAAGAAACCTCTGAAGAACACGTATTTGCACACTAGCAAAGACGCACACATACTCGTACAGTTACAAACAAACCGACAAACGCCGACCGAAACGAGAAACATAATTAATTATAAGGCGAAAGACTACGAACAAAGCATTACTGGAGACAGAGTCATTGGCTGGTGTCGTTTATGATGGTGTCGACCAATACGGCTAGAGTTTCAGTTAACGCTGCTGTTATAGATTGTATTATCCGATCACGGAAATTCAGAACTAACTATACTACGCCAGGCGTTTGGACGGTACGTGGCCGGTTTGTAAAGCGGTAGACGTTTCATTCCAGTCAGCCCCTTAAATTTTCAGCGGATATCCGCTTATGTCGCAGTTTGATATCGGCCGACAACTGAATATTTTCGTTCGTCTTTAACTGTTTTCTTTTCCATGCGTTTTTTTGGTTGCTACTTGAGTCGAGTTTGGGTACGTTTCCTTTTATTGCTAGACAGTGATTTAGTAGATAAGTGTTATCTAAGCGTGCACTTTTCGCTTGTCGCTGCTGTTTAGTAGGTAGCAGAAGTGCTCCATTGTGCACGTAAGGCATATGAGTACTATATGGCATGTCAGACTGTGACTGAGCAAATCGAACACCTTTTACTGGTCAACTTTCGCAATCAACCGAAAAATCAATGGGACACTATTTGAGGATCGCAAAAAAACTATCCCCATTTCTAAAGCCCACTCGGGTGGGCTCACCGTCCGCGCATTCGCCAGCCATCGGCCCCAGATAATCGAAGAACTGTACAGTCTAATGCTATTATAGCATTCAATCTGCTAACATTTTACAGAAATTAAACATTATTTTTTATCGTTATTAAGCAACTGTTTTTTTCGTTCTTTTTTACGATCGCTATCTGAACGGTCGCGGCCATCTTAGTCAGCGCCATTTATTTGTTCGTTTCATCCAATCGGGTTGCTGTCGCTACCTGTACCTAAGTTTTTAGATGTCAAATCCCCCTTTCTTCTAACTAGCCGCCCGTACTAAGCTCCCCTTGCTCGAATTAAACCCTCCCGCCATTACGTACCACCGCCTAAACGATTCACTGGCTTGTCCGCAACGGTCCCGTACATAAAACGCGTGGCTCTTTTGCTGCGTGCGCCATATTCCGTCTGCTCATGTCTTCCCGTAATAATAATAATAATAACAACATTTGGGCGTTCGCTAGGAGAAATGGGTGCAACGTTAGTAGTAAATAATTCATTTCTGCTATCGTTGTCCGTCGGTTTGTCTGCCTGCCCGTCATTGGCTTGCCGTATGACCGCTATTGTTACGAAGGCACTGCCGTATGAGCGTCAAACCATTGGCTATACTCGTAGCCCGACGCTCTGAACCGTCTAGGCTGCTTTTATTGGCGGCCGGTTACGGCAGCATCCGCTGCTGCGGCTTCCTTCCAGAAGATTCGTTTTGTACTATAAAGAAATTGCTGCTTTTCATTTATCTCACGAAATGCTTATAGTTTCTACCGTTATCTCTTAGTATTTTCTGATTCCCTGATATATTATGGCCGCTTTGATCACTCGATCGATGACGGGCTCGGCGAACGCTTTCGATTGGGGCTAGAAGATCGCTAGCCGTCAGCCAGAGGAATTATCTATTATATTTATAGAGCTATTGGATCAGTATAAGCGTCAGAAAGAGGGGCAGGGGAAGAACTCAGAGATGACTTCTAATTTGACGGTTTAATTTGTTCCCATAGTATGAATTCTGACTTTTTTGCTATTTCAACCTTGGCCTAAGCATGTAGCTTCGCTTTTTATTTTTTTAATCCTACTTAGATAATTGTTTCATGTAGGAATAGGTATTTCACAGAGGTTTTAAATGTTTATTCCTACACTAGACAAAAAATAATAGGTTATTAAATTAAAATATGCCGAATGTGTTTTCCACCGTCTAAAGTCGTCCCACAAGGCACGTAGCTTTTCAAACAAAGAGAGAGACATATATATAAGATGGCAAATGCTATATATCGTGACGACGTGGAAGTGCCGGCATAGATGCTATTCATGTGAGCAACATCCCGTTAATACGACAGAAATTATTAATACAGGTCATAAAAAGCTACCACGCGTGGGACAACAAGAGGCCCAGGGTCGCTTGTCAGTCTTCTGAGCAAAAGGTGAACCCATAAGGGTTTGCTGCAACGGGATCGCGTGCTTGTCGAGGTGACGCCTGCTCTACTTGTTCGAACCGAAACTTCCCTCGGCAATCGAAAGCACATTCATTGAAATCTCTCGAACCGTCGAATTAAGGGAGGGCAGTTTCGGAGGGCAATTCCTCTCACATCCAGAAGCACCAGCATAACCCGTCGATTTGTAGCTTGGCCGACCACTTCGTCCATCCCCAAATTGTCTCTCGTCCTTGACGACTTGCGCAGTTCATGCTGCCACCACTGCTAGCAACACAATTGTGATATGCATCTCATCCTTATATAGCAGTAGTGATAGAAATGGGCTAGGTTTATTTGTACGAGCCGCAGAACTAGGTATACATATATCAACAGCGCCTTAACGAAGACAAAGTTAAGCCTATGAGCTGATGAGCTAGTTCATGACGTGGTAACCTTTTCAAACGTTTGCGGATAGCGAGTATTTCTGCCTAGCATGAATGAACCGCAAAATAGCTAATTTCAAAATATAGTTCGTAATTATCCGTTACGACACACTTCAGTGAAGTGTACCAAACCGCTCACGATAAAAAGGGCTCTCATGTCGAAGCTGATTGCTGTACCCCTATTTGTGCGCTATATTGTTAATACCCCCATCGGCTGTCACTATATATTTCGCCATATAGAAGTACCATTTGCATTCATAGATCATACGTTATGCGTCCGACATTGTCTGCCGTGCGTATCTTACCTTCAGCAGCTTTCTGTTCTGAAAGGAGGCGTCGAGGTTGACCGGCGTACTGTAGGCTGTAAATACGTCTTGTACGATCATGCAACATTCAATTCTTATTGGTTTCTTCTCATTGAACGCTAAATAATAACAACGAAATTTGGCGCCGTTTTAACCCTGCCGTCACGGCAATCCCAAGTAATTTAAGTGATCGCTGACACTTTGGCCGTTGTTGCTCGTAATGTT